CCACTGCCCGAATTTGCCTGGGGAATGTGGGTCTGCAATACACAGACAAGAAGACCTGGACATACAAAGCCCAGCATCCGAGCTAACCAGAATCAGAGTAGTAGGGAACTCAAAGGATGGACTCTATATCTACAAGCCGTCCATCCCCCTCAGTGACCTACCATTCAACCCTGCAGAATGGAAATGGACATGGGGTGAGTCTCAAACAATGGCCTTGTGGCAATACACTGTTAAGAATGATTATCGGATAGCCCGGAAACGAGTACAAGTGACACAACAAATCATCCATTGTTGGGAAAGAGACTCCCCACTGGAAATGCGTGACTTCCAGCACTTCAGGTGGACCTCCTTCTCACACATCAAGCCGACCAATCACAGAGCTCTGCAATGGCAGATAATACATAGATGCCTACCTACTCCGGATTGGCTAACAACAAGAACCGACTTAGAGGCAAAAGGACAGCTCTCCGCTATGCACGTACTGCACCAACTCCACACCACGGAAAAGAGCCACCCTGGAACACTGCCTATTAGACTGCCCAATGGTGACGCAGCTCTGGATCTGGTGGGACGCCGCCTGGCACTATCTCACGGGGGAACACCTGCCATGGGACGTTCGTACTCTTCTGCTGGGAGGTCCTCCAGAGGGTGGAACAGACTGTACACCTTTTATGACAAACCTGTTTACATACGCCAGACTAACGGTACTAATGGCTGCTTGGAGGATGCGCTGTGTGTACGAAAGGAAACAACATGACTTTTGGTTTTATGCAAGCATGGACAACAATCATAGATACCATCACAGCCAATACCCAGGAGGCCTGGAGACAACTGCAATCTGGGCTACGGAAAGAACCAGATGTGGCTAGAAAACGACACATAGTGGACGCTTTCAAAGCCACCTGGACGGACAGCAATGCGAAACTTTGCACCCTGGACAACGCCCTCTCTCTAAAGTGGCAGCTTTGGCTGTCCACAGAAAGACAGTGGGAAAGACTGCTTAGGCACCACTTCCAGGTGGTATAGCAACCCACAAACTTCGTTCTCATTTCATAAGTGGTCCGTGCCCAACACCCCTTCCACCTCACTCCCGTCCG